TTCAGCCACAAGAAAGATTGAGATCCTCTCATTGGCAACAACATGGATGGAACTGGAGGTCATTATGCTAAGGGAAATAAGCTGGGCACAGAGAGACGAACATCACATGTTCTCATTTATTTGTGGGATGTAAAAACCAAAACAATGCAACTCATGGAGATAGAGAGTAGAAGGATGGTTACCAGATGCTGGGAAGGGTAGTGGGAAGGTGGCAGGGGCATTGTTAATGCGTACAAAAAAATAGAATGAATAAGACCTAGTATTGATATCACAATAGGGAGACTATAGTCAATAATTTAATTGTCCATTTAAAAATAACTAAAAGAATATAATTGGATTGTTTGTAACACAAAGGATAAATCCTTGAAGGGATGAATATACCCCCCAACCTAAAAACAAAACAAAACAAAACAAAAAACAATAGAGACGCCGTGGGTATAATCCAGAGGGTGGCAAGCTATGTGGGTTCTCAGTCTGGATCCTGCATAGCAAGCAGCTGTGAAATCCTTACTAAGCTTAAGGGGGCAGTGGGACATGAGTGCTTCTCATTCCAGTGTCTCTCTGGGTCTGATCATTTAAAGGAGGCTTGCATTTCTCAAACAAAATACTTCTTTTCTTTCTCACTTTCATATGTATGTGAACATGTCCATAGTAAAAAGTAGAAATTCAAAACAAAAGTCATACTTAATTAATGTTAAGCTTTTGATTCCATATCCTATTAGTGGCATGTGAGATGCACAGCTAAGGGCCTGGAGGTGGGGAGCACGGTTTGCTCCTTTGGGCACCCTCCCTCCCAGTGCAGTACCCTGGAATAGAAGGATGGCAGGAGCTACTATGTCCACCTCAAAGACACCACCTCTTCCTCCCTCCGCAGTTGGCAGCAGGGAGAAGGGACAGAGGTGACAGATTCTAGTGTGCCGTGGGACAGTCCATAGACTCCGTCCAGCTCTGTGTAGTTCTAGCTCTTGTGCTGGGGGCCTTTGCAAATGTGGTCTCTATGCATAGAGACAGTGTGCAGGCAAGATCTTTCATTCCAACACTCTCTGCCACTGAGGACTATCACCCCCCACCGCCAGAGAGGCCCCTGGGTCTCCCTTTGGGCCTGTTAAAAGAAAGATGCATTAAATTTAACAGAGTTTAAATGAGCAAAGAACAATTTATGAATCAGGCAACCTGTCGAATCACAGAAAATTCAGAAACACTCCAGGGATACCGCATGGTTGAAGATGATTTATGGACAGAAAAAGGAAAGTGATACACAGAAACAAGTGAGGTACAGCAACAGCTGGATGGGTTACAGCTTGGCTTGTGCCTTATTTGAACATGATTTGAACAGTTGGCTAAAACTTGGTGGTTGGCACAAGAGTAGATTTTGGTCTGTTTACACATCCAGTTAAGTTACATTTCACTCTGTACAGAGAAACCTTTAGGCTGAATTTAAAATACGTAAGGAGGAGGTTTAGGCTAAGCTTAATTTAACAGGCCCTTCCAGAATTAGAAGTCCTTCTGCTTCTCCATCTCAGCTCCTCCACATGTTGTCACAGGAAGCACTGAGGTCCTCATCTCAGTACCATGAGAACCAGGAGTTAATGACCAATAGACCTTCACTATAGGACCTTCAAGGCCCATCTGTATTTTGGGAAGAAAGGTGACCTCAGACAGAAGGTTTGTGATGCAAGAAGGAATGATGAGCAAAGGTGGTGGCAAACATATAGGCAAATCTAAATGAATGTATGCATAACATAACAATGGTAATAATAATGTGAATTGGGGATATAAAAGGGGCAGACTAAAACAGCATGGGCAGGAAAGATTAGAGTGAAAGTGTTCCTTACATTGTTTCAGAGGATTGTTTAGGATATTAATTTTAGACTTAAGCATACATTTTAAAATTTCAAGGGCAATAAGTAAAAGAAAACAGTGTAAACTTCGAAATGAGTAGAGAGAAAAATGCAATATACTAAGATTAGATATTTATGAAGAATATTAGAAGAATTCATTGAAATATTTAAAAACCTAACAAATAGACAGAATACATAATTAACTGAAGGAAACAATTTTTGTAAAGATGCCACAATTGCCAAGCTGATTTATTGATTTACTGTAATTCCAGGCAAAATGCCAATAGGGTATTTTGAGCAACTTGACAAACTAGTTTTGCAACTTATAATGAAAGGCAAAAGCTCAAGCATGGTTGAGAGTGGGATCTTGAGATATCTGTACATCAAAATTTATCATAAAGATGCAGCAATTAAAATTACATGATAGAAGCATAAAGAGAGATACATTTATCAGTGAAACTGAATAGAGTCAACAGTATCCCTGCTCATTCAAAGCATCATGCAGCACAGAGGTGACCTTGTTCATCCATGAGGAAGTGGAAACTATGAACAACTGATGCTGAGATAATTATTCACATGAGGAAAAATGAAGTTGGATCCCTGCCTTCCACATATACAAAAATCAATTCCAAATGGATTAGCGAAAAAGGCAAAATTTAAAAACATTTTCAAGAATATATAGGAGAATACCTGGCCAAGCATGGTGGCTCATGCCTGTAATCCCAGTACTTGGGAGGCTGAGGCGGGCAGATCACGAGGTCAGGAGATCGAGAGTATCCTGGCTAACATGGTGAAACGCCATCTCAACTAAAAATACAAAAATGCACACACAAAAATTAGGTGGGCATGGTGGTGGGTGCCTGTAATCCCAGCTACTTGGGAGGCTGAGGCAGGAGAATGGCTTGAACCCGGGAGGCGGAACTTGCAGTGAGCTGAGATAGCGCCACTGCACTCTAGTGTAGGTGACAGAGCGAGACTCCATCTCAAAAAAAAAAAAAAAAAAAAAAAAAAAAAAAATATATATATATATATATATGAACATTTTCTGAATTCAGGGCAAGAAAGACTTCATGAAAAGATAGGGAGCTGACCACAAAAGAAAATACATGAATTCTATTTGTCAAAAGACGTCATGAAGAAAGTGAAAAGACAAGCTATGAACTGTAAGAAAATGTGTGTAAACAAGTATAATTGACTAAAGATGAGTATTAAGATTATACAAAGAGCTCCTACAAATCAAAAAGAACAGAAAGCCAAACAAAAATGGGCAAAGGACATGAACGGGCACAAGAGGGAATGTGATAAATATATGTTAAGGTCTCAACTTTATTAGTGATCAGCGAAACGCGAATTAAAACTCTGGTGATATACTATCTTACATTCACCCACCTGGAAAAATCAAGGAGTGTGACAATACTAAGTGTTGGTGAGGATGTAAATTAACAATTCTTACCCATTGCTGGTAGAGGTGAAATTGGGACCACCAGTTGGGGAAACAGTTCTAGTGTTTTATTGTAAAGTTGGATATTTGCGTATACTACTAGGTATTACATCTTGTGGGATGTCTGCATGCGGACACCAGGATACGAATTGGGTCCTTTTCAATTGTTTCCAACCCCAAATTGGAAAAAAAAAAAAAAAAGAAAAAAAAAGAAGAAGAAGAACCAACAAACCACCAAGTGGCTTTATTGCTGGATCAATAAATTGTGGTATAGCCACATAGTGGAATATTTTACTGTAGTGAAAATGAATTACAGGACTATACAGCACTGTGTATGTATTACAGAAACAACTTTGAAAGAAGAAAATTGCAGAAGAGAACTTAACAGCATGATACCATTTGTCTTAGTTCATTTGGGCTGCTATAACAAAATACCATAGGCTGGGTGGCTTATAAACAACAATTTATTTCTCACAGTTCTGGAGGCTGGGAAGTCCAAGATCAAGGCACCAGCAGATTCCTGTCTTGTGAGGGACTGGTCTCAGTTATTAGATGGATGGCAACTGCTGTGTTCTCACATGGTGGAAGTGGCTAGATAGCTCTGCAGGACCTCCTTTGTAAGGGTTCTTATGAATACCACTCATGACCAAAGGGCCCATCTCCTGATACCATCACTTTGGGGGTTAGGATTCTAGCACATGAATTTATGGAGTCACAAACACCCAGACCATAGCATCATTTTTATAAAGTCACAGAGAAGCAAAACGAAGTGATGTATTAGGGATACAAAGAAACGATTTAAAAAAACTATTTTAAAAAGTGAGGGTATGACAGACACAAAGGTCAGGATAGAAGTTGGGCGTGCAGAGGGAGAAGGGATAAGGAAGGAAACCATAGGTGGGAGCATCTATACTAGGAATGTTCCATTTCTTAAGTAGGATGGTTTTGTCATGGATAGTAATTGTATTATGTTTCCTAACGATGTGTGAGGGAGAAGGAAAGAGAAAATCAGTGCAGAAGACTCACTGCAGAAGCGGCCTGCCTGAAAAGTCACAGCAACAGGCAAAAATAAAACAACCCGGTAAAAAACTCAGGCTGCACCTGCACACAGACAAGCAGACAGGGTCCAGCATAGAAGCCCTTTGTTCCTTTATAATCAGCGAGCTCCCAGGAAAGTTTCCTCCCCTTTTCAGGCATATGCATGGTGGGAACTTGCACAGGGAGGAGGGGTGCTAACCTAAAACAAACTCACAGTTATGCAAACAAAAAAGGCGGTGCTTTGTGCTTGCATAGATACATACCCACAGCTGCATAAGATAAGACAGCTTTACTGATAAGAGAAGTTACTCAAACTACTACAGAGATAAGAGGTTTTCTTGCAAAAGCTTTTGAATTCAGCTGTAACAGGGCAATCCACTTGCATACTCAGCTCACTGTGGAGAGCTCTCTTCTTTCGCTTATGAAACTTTCACTCCCACCTCACCTGTGTCCCGTTCCTTAGTTTTCTTGGAGTAGGACAAAGAATCCCAGGTATTAGTCCAAACAAGGAGAAAATGCTACATTAAAGTACATTGGCAAGACGGCAACATGTGTATTCCATGCACTTTTTCGTATGTTATCTATCACGTATGTGTAGATTTCATTTTCTATATATTTTTTTAAAACAAAATAACTGAATTGTTCAAGATTTTAACTCCTGATGGTGCCTCCCAAGGCTTCCTAATCTGATCTCCATTTACCCCTCCATGTCACGCCTCTGTTTCAAACCGTTGAGCTTCTCCAGCCAGTTTAGGCACCACCTCTAAGCCTTTGCTGTTTCCATGACCTTCCCCCAGAACGAATAACCTCCTTCGCCCCCCTCCCCCTAAAAGACCCACAGATTCCCCGGCCTCTAAGCGCCCCATTTCGCCCCACTCTGTCCTCGGACGCGCTCACTGCGCCCGCGCCACTGTCGCCGCCCCGCGCGCGCCTCTGCCGTTTGCCGCCCGCGGCGCTTTCCCCTCCTCAGGTTCCTCCCCGAGCCGCCCCCAGTGCCCACGATTCCGCGGCTCCGCCGACCAGGGGCCGCGCAGACGGGGAACTCGCCAGGCGCGTAGTCCCTTGCGAGGCCTGGGGGCCGGCGAGGCAGCAGAGGCGGGATGGGCCTGAGCCCGGGCGCCCGGGGGAAGTACGCGCCCCGCCTCCCTAGGATTCCCTCACCCGGCCCCAAACCCGCCTCGCGAACCGCCGGTACCGGGCGCAAGGACCAGCAGCCTGCGCCCAGACGTTCAACTGTGCCCCACTCAGGTCAGCCCCGAGAATGGGGGCCCTTTCCGCAATTGTCCTTCGGGTCCCAGCGGGCCGTTACCCTCAAAGCTCCTTTTCTTAGACATTTGGTGATCGTGTTGTCTGTTAGCCATCATGATCGAACGTTTCAGAACGACCGCTTGTTATAAAGCTAATCGAAGCGAGCCAGGCAGCCACTCCCTCATTCCTGCCATGTTTTATATGGAGGTGAGGCAGTGGTGGCAGCTCCGGAGGGTGGCGTTAAGACCGGCTCTCGCTCTGCAGAGGTTCCTCCCATCTGGCTTAGGACAGAGGCGAGGGCGCCCTTCTTCATGCTCTCCCCGATTCTGTCCCCAGGAATTCCAAAGTCTCTCTTTGGCAGAGGAACTGAACCCGCTCCAGCACCTAGTTCCACAACCCTCTCCATTCATCCCAACCCTCTCCATTCATCCCTGAGGCCTAACCAGGAGCCGGGCACGATGCTGGACTAGAGCTCTGAGCCCACTCTCCCTAGCGGTCAAGGTGCTTGCTCGAACTTTCCTTTCACAGGTCTAAATAGCATTTCTCCCCTTGAATTAGAAGAATCCGTGGGATCCGCAGCGTTGGTCCAGCTCCCAGCCAAGCAGCCTAGGCCGGGCACATTAGAACAGGGCAGAAGCATCCAGCAAGGGTAAGAGGATTGTAAGGATGAGGTCTTTGGGTGGAAGAAGTCTTTGGAAGAACTGACTTGGAATGCAGTTCTGCAAAGCAAACCCAGAGGTGGTTTTCGTGTGAACCAGCCAGCTGCTACCCAGCAAGGGAAAGGCTGGTGTGATCCTGGGTGATAACAGATTGTACTGGGCTTGGGACCTGTTGGCCACAGGCACGCCTTGCAGCTGTTTCTAGCCACAAGGCCATTCTCTAGACCTCAGAGAAATGAATGGCTTTAGCAGGAGGCTTACAATATTGTCCTTGGTCTCACTAATCAATGAGCAATGAGTCAGCCTTTGGCAGATTTCCTGAATTCACTTTCATTAACAGCATGATGATTGCTGCTTTAAAAAATTCCGAGGGGCTGAAATTTTGGAGAGGAGCTATACTGAAAATGAGGGGTGTCCCATCTGCCCCATACACTATTTTTTTCTGGAGAAGAGTTTAAAGCATGGGAAAAGGTAAAGAAAAAGCCATTTCTGAGTTGGTGGTATACCAGATGTTTATATGTGCTGTCTCTTTCCCCTCTCATGACACCTCTGTGAGACATATTTTCATCTCTATTTTAAAGATAATCAAGCTGAGGGTCAGACATTAATTTACTAGCTCAAGGTGGGACAGCAATCATGAGAGCTAGGATTCAAACCTAGATCTTTTGGCTTTGAAGTATTTTACTCTACCTTAATTTAATATGCTTGAAAGCCTATTCTTGCCTTTTGTTTCTGTCCCCTCCTGTAACATTTTGTTTCAAGGGAGAAATATACTGATTTCATTCATATTACTTGCAGTTACAGTGTTGTGGCTTATCAAGCTTTCTTAGAAATCTGGAGCTAATTATTGGAAGAAGGAGCTCTAGAGTTCAAGGGGTTTGCCTCTGGGCAGTAGGGCTGGGATGAGAAGGGAAAGAAGGAAGGCTCCTCGCATTTCATTATAAATTCTTATGTACTGGTTCCTTAACAACAACAACAACAACAACAACAACAACAACAACAACAACAACCATGTGCAAGTATCACTTTGATAAACATTAAAAAGAGATTATTAGCAAATTAAAAAATAATAAAACCCCCCCAAACTGCTTCTTGCTATCATTAGCATTTAAACAATTGACAGAAAACTGGCCAACAGCAGTTCTTCTGGGTTCATAGAAACAAGTTCTAATGGGTTCACAGACACAAGCTTGGGGGGAACTGTTCCCTACAGTCTCCAAACCGAAAGGCATCTTAAAAATCACAAATCTGTAATACAGATTTTCCAATAATTGTGAAATAGTGATATTTGTTAACTATGTGATTACAAAATCATTCAGGGAGAAGCCTGTAGTTAGCTTGGAGACCACACTCAGCCAGAAAGCAGACTGGAGTTCAATTCCCAAGCCTGAGAATAAAGGCAAGTTAATAAAGCAAGCAGCTGAGGTAGGTATAACAAGAATTCTCAAAGTGACTATCTTTAACCTCCTGGCCACTCCTCTACATATTGTATTTTACTTTGTTTCCAGGGGTGTCCAATCTTTTGGCTTCCCTGAGCCACATTGGAAGAAGAAACATCTTGGGCCACACATAAAATACACTAACACTGACGATAGCTGTTAAGCTTACACACACACACACACACACACACACACACACACATCATAATGTTTTAATAAAGTTTACGAATTTGTGTTGGGCCACATTCAAAGCTGTCCTGGGCTGTATGTGGCCTGTGGGCTGCAGGTTGGACAAGCTTGGTTTAGACAGTCTAATAAATATCCTGATTTGGGATGTTAGTTATGCTTTGTTTTAAAGCAATTTTATTGAGATGTAATTGACATAAACTCCACATATCTAAAATATAGAATTTGATACATTTGGCGTGTGTATATGCCAGGGAAGTGTACAATTTGATACATTTTGACATCTATATATATATGTCCTATGAAATCTTCACCACAATCAAGATAATGAATAATCTCTACCATTTACAAAAGTTTCTTTGTGCCTTTTGTAATCCCTCTCTCTTCCCACACCACTCCCATCCCCAGGCAACAACTGATATGCTTTTTGTCACCATAGATTTGTTTGCATTTTGAGAGATTTATATGGAATCATATTGTATGTGCACTTTGTCTCCTTCAGGTAACTATTTTGAATGACATCCATGTTGTTGCTTTTTCTCAACAGTTCATTCCTTTTTTATTACTGAGCAGTATTTCATTGCATGGATATGCCACTCTTGTTTATCTGTTCATCTGTTGATTGAGCATTTGAGTTGTTTCTCGTTTTTGACTATCACAATCTGCTTGGACATTTATGTACAAGTCTTTGTGCAGACTGCGTATTTTTTCCTCTTGGGTGAATATGTAGGAATGAAATGGCTAGGTCATATAGTAGATGTATATTTAACTTACTGTTTTCCTTACATTTTTTCTTTTCTTTTCTGGGGCTCTCCAAGCCCGCTAGACAAATTCTAAAAGACCTCTAACCTTAACTTACTGTTTTCCACAGTGGTTGTATCATTTTACCTTCCTACCAGCAGTATATAAGAGTTCCAGTTCATCAGCATTTGGCATGGTGAAAATCTTCTAAATTTGAGCTATTTTAATAGATGTGTTGGTATCTCATTGTGGTTTTCATTTGCATTTTCCTAATGACTAATAAGGTTAAACATCTTTTCATGTGTATATTTGCCATCCATATATATAATCTTTGGTGAAGTGTTCAAATCTTTTGCCCATTTTTTCCTATTGGTTTTTATGTTTTGAGAGTTCTCCAGAAGTTCTCTATACAAGTATGTCATCAGATAAATACTTTATGATATTTTCTCTCCATCTGTAGCTTGTCTCTTCAGAACAGGTTCTTGAATTTTGATGAAGTCCAACGTATCGGCTTTTCCTTTTATAAAAAGAAAATGTAATGAAATACTGCTCAGTAATAAACAGGAATGAACTATTGATAAAAAGCAATAACATTGATGTCACTCAAAATAGTTATATGAAGGAGACAAAGAAGTGGACACACAATATGATTTCATATAAATCTCTATTTATGAATAGTGCCTTTCGTGTCATATCTAAGAAACCTTTGCCTAGGTCACAAAGATTTTCTCCTATTTTCTTTTAGTTATTTTGTAGTTTTATTTTTTACATTTACATATTTGATACATCTTTATTTGTACTTTTATTTCAATAGTTTTGGGGGAACAGGTGCTGTTTGGTTGCATGGAAAAGTTCTTTAGTGGTGACTTCTGAGATTTTAGTGCATCCATCACCTGAGCAGTGTACACTATACTCAGTGCATGGTCTTTTATCCCTCACCCCACTCCTACACTTCCCTTCCGAGTCCCTAAAGTCAATTACATCATTCTTATGCCTTTGTGCCCTCATAGCTTAGCCCCCACTTATAAGTGAGAACATATGAGTTTTTGGTTTTCCATTCCTGAGTTACTTCACTTAGAATAATGGTCTCCAGTTCTATCCAGGTTGCTGTGAATGCCATTGTTTCACTCCTTTTTATGGCTGAGTAGTATTCCATGGTGTGTGTGTGTGTGTGTGTACATACCACATTTTCTTTGTCCACTCATTTGTTGATGGTCATTTAGGCTGGTTCCATATTTTTGCAGTTGTGAATTGTGCTGCTATACACATGGATGTGCAAGTGTCTTTTTCATACAATGACTTCTTTTCCTCTGGTTAGATACCCCAGTAGTGGGATCAAATTGTTGTTCTACTTTTAGTTTTTTAAGGAGTCTTCATAGTGTTTTCCATAGTGATTGTACCAGTTTACATCCCCACCAGCAGTGTAAGTGTTCCCTTTTCACCACATCTATGCCAACACATATTATTTTTTGATTTTTAAGTTATGGCCAGTCTTGCAGGAGTAAGGTGGTATTATTGCATTGTGGTTTTGATTTACATTTCTCTGATAATTAGTGATGTTGAGCAGTTTTTAAAATATGTTTGTTGGCCATTTATATATCTTCTTTTGAGAATTGCCTGTTCATGTCCGTTGCCCACTTTTTGATGGGATTGCTTGTTTTTTTCCTTGCTGATTTGCTTGAGTTCCTTGCAGATTCTGGATATTAGTCCTTTGCTGGATGCATAGTTTGTGAATATTGTCTCACACTCTGTGGGTTGTCCGTTTACTCTGCTGATTGTTCTTTTGCTGTGCAGAAGCTTTTTGGTTTAATTAGGTCCCATCTATTTATATTTGTTTACATTACATTTGCTTTTGGGTTCTTGATTATGAATTCTTTTTCTACATCAATGTCTAGAAGGATTTTTCTGATGTTATCTTCTAGAATTTTTATGGTTTCATATCTTAGATTTAAATCTCTGATCCGTCTTGAGTTGATTTTTGTAGAAGGTGAGAGTTGAGGATCCAGCTTTATTCTTCTACATGTGGCTTGCCAATTATCCCAGCATTTTTTGTTGAATAGGGTGTCCTTTTCTACTTTATGTTTTTGTTTGCTTTGTTGAAGACAGTTGGCTGTATTTTGCTTTATTTCTGGCTTCCCTATTCTGTTACATTGGTCTACATGCCTGTTTTTATACCAGTACCATGCTGTTTTGGTAACTATAGCCTTGCAGTATAGTTCAAAGTCAGGTAATGTGACGCCTCAAGATTTGTTCTTTTTGCTTAGTCTTGCTTTGGCTATGTGGGCTCTTTTTTGGTTCCATACTAATTTTAGGGTTGTTTTATTCTAGTTCTGTGAATAGGTATTTTGATGGGAATTACACTAAATTTGTAGATTGCTTTTGGCAGTATGGTCATTTTCACGATATTGATTCTACCCATCCATGAGCGTGAGATGTGTTTCCATTTGTTTGTATCTGTGATTTCTTTCAGCAGTGTTTTGTTTTCCTTGTAGAGATCTTTCATGTCTTTGGTTAGGTATATTACTAAGTATTTTTTTTTTTTTTTACAGCTGTTGTAGAAGGGGTTGAGTTCTTGATTTGATTCTCAGCTTAGTCATTGTTGGTGTACAGCAGGGCTACTGGATTTGTGTACAATAATTTTGTATCCTGAAACTTTGCTAAATTGATTTACCAGTTCTAGGACTTTTTGGATTGGGCTTTAGGGTTTTCTAGGTATATGATCATATCAGCAAACAGCAACAGTTTGACTTCCTTTTTACTGATTTGGATGCCCTTTATTTCTTTCTCTTTTCTGATTGTGCTGGCTAGGACTTCCAGTACTGTATTGAATAAATGTGGTGAAAGTGGGCATCCTTGTCTTGTTCTAGTTACCAGGGGGAATGCTTTCAACTTTTCCCCAATCAGTATAATGTTGGCCGTGGGTTTGCCATAGATGTCTTTTATTGCCTTGAGGTATGTCCCTTTTATGCTGATTTTGTTGAGGTTTTTAATCATAAAGGGATGCTGGATCTTGTCAAATGCTATTTCTGTGGCTATTGAGATGATTATGTGATTTTTGTTTTTAATGCTGTTTGTGTGATGTATCACATTTATTGACTTGTATATATTAAACCATCCCTGCATCCCTGCTATAAAACCCACTTGATCATGGTGGATTATCTTTTTGATATGCTTTTGATTCAGTTAACTAGTATTTTCTTGAGGATTTTTGCATCCGTGTTCATCAGGGATATTGGTCTGTAGTTTTCTTTTTTTGTTATGTCCTTTCCTGGTTTTGGTATTAAGGTGATGCTGGCTTCATAAAACGATTTAGGGAGCATTCCCCCTTTCTCTGTCTTTTGGAATAATTTCAGTAAGATTGGTATCAATGCTTTGAAAGCCTGATAGAATTCAACAGAATTCAACTGTGAATCTGTCTGGTTCTGGACTTTTGTTGTTGTTGGCATTTTAAAAAATTACTGTTTCAATCTTGCTACTTGTTATCATCTGTTCAGAGTTTCTATTTCTTCCTGATTTAATATAGGAGGATTGCATATTTCCAGGAATTTATCCATCTCCTCTAGATTTTCTAGTTTGTGTGTGTGAATGATCTTTTGTATTTCTGTGGTATCAGTTTTAATATCTCGCATGTCTTTTCTAATTGAATTTATTTGGATCTCTTCCCTTTTCTTGGTTAATCTCACTAATGGTCTATCAATTTTGTTTATCTTTTCAAAGAACCAGCTTTTTGTTTCATTTATCTTTTGTGTGTGTTTGTGTGTGTGTGTTTTGTTTTGTTTTGTTTTTTTGGCTTCAATTTCATTTAGTTCTGCTCTGATCTTGGTTATTTATTTTCCTCTGCTGATTTAGGTTTAGTTTATTCTTGTTTCTCTAGTTCCTTGAACTGTAACCTTAGAGGGTTTTTTTTGGTTTTTTTTTTTTGTGTGTGTGTGTTTTTTGATGTAGGCATTTAATGCTATGAACTTTCCTCTTAGCACCACTTTTGCTGTGTCGCTGAGCTTTTGATAAGTTGTGTCACTATTATTGTTCAGTTCAAAGAATTTTTAAATTTCCATCTTG